CTTTGTTAAAACTGGTAATCTTAGAAAACACGAAATATGTGGTATACATAACATACCTATGAACGCTTTACATTATACATAGTTATAAGCAAACATGATAAAAACATACGCACTCGCTCACTCGTTCTCAAATGAAACATTTAGGAAAGGTGAAGATATAGAGTGCTAGATTTCTCTCGGAACTTACTGACCTAGTTAAAACATTTAAATGGCTGCAATTATATGACTAAATGTAATGACTTATCTAAATAAGTATTAAGACTTTGTAACACTTCAACTGATTAAACAAATAGACACAAGTGTATTATAACAATAGGTATAAAAACATTACTAACCTATTAGGACAATCTGAAGAGATGAAAATATGACACAAAGCAAATGTTGTTTGTTGTGAGCATGGTCAAGGTGTAGTGGCTGGTGTACTGGTTAAATGCTGGGTGTTAGTATTTTAAACAAGGCCAATCAAGCACAATTAAACAAAGGACCGACCCAAGCTACCTACCCTACCTCACAGATATTAGAGGTAAAATAAAAGAAAATTCCAAGCAGAGATTAAGTCATTATTCTGCTGCAGCGCTGTAGAATACAACAGCCATACATGTTTATTTTATTTAATGCAACACAATTAAAGGTTAAAAAATAATTTCATTACAAAAGATGATATGTATACAAATATATCAAATACAGAAAATACACACTTCCTTCCACTACGAAATGATGTCCTCATCATTTAATTATACCAGTCCAATATCCAAGATTGCATCAGATACTCGATGCGACTGATCAGAAAAACTTGTAAAAAATGAAATGAAATAAATGTCCTTACAACCTGATAATAATCTAACATCATGTTCATAACACAAATCTGTTCTAAGAAAACAGCATAAAACACAAATTCATAACAACAAACCATCAAAACATTAAAGGAATACATCACTTAAGCAGCAATTTATATCAAACATTTTAATGCTTATGTTGTGCAAACAGAAAGCTATTGTCAGTGTTGATGTGGGTAGGGCAAACAACCATGGCTACAGATTGATTGATATTTGTAGAAATAAAAATCTGTTTATCATAAATGGTCGTTTTGGTGATGACAAACACATTGGTAAAGCAACTTGTAAAGGTTGTAGCTTAGTTGATTATAGTATTTGTTCATTGAATTTAGTGAAAAGAATATGTGATTTTAGTGTCCTAGATTTTGACCCTATTCTGTCTGATGCCCATTGTGCTTTGACATTGAGTATCAACATGAACTGTCAATCAAGGACAGAAGCTGACAGCAGCACGGACTCCACGTGCACCTACCGACGCTGGGACAAACGACATGCTTCTCAATTTCATGATGTAATTAATTCTCGCCAGGGTGAAATCGATAACATTGTTTCGGACATTGATAACTGTGCAACCGAGGACCAAGAAGCTCTAAACAATCTAGTAAACAATATTAACAATGTATTTATTGAAAGTGCCAAATCTGTGTTTGGTTTTAGACAACCTACCAATGCTATGTTTGAACATAAAAGGCGACAGAAAAAGCCTTGGTTTGGTCGTGATTGTAAGATCAGTAGAGGTAAATATCATCAGGCTAAATCAATATTTCAAAAACATAAAAGTGTGCAAAACAAAAGAAGGCTAATCAATGCAAGCAAGGCTTACAAAAACACTTTGGCAAAATATCATAACCTTCATAGATCTGACATACAGGACAAATTATTTAAATTACGTAAAGAGGACTCTAAATCATTTTGGAAACTGTTGCGGAATGATAATAAAGATAAAGATTTACCACCACTCGAGGAAGTTTTTACATATTTTCAGAAATTAAATGATGCACCTGATGAAGAGTCTGATGATCTCACTGATCAATTTGATATAAACATTGAAGATTGTAACTCTGTTTTGAATGGTGCCATTTCACGTGATGAAATTTTGATTGCCATAGCAAATTTGAAAAATGATAAAGCATGTGGCCCTGATACAATTATTAATGAATATATTAAAACCACTCAAGTCATTATGCTACCTGTATATGTAAGGTTATTTAAAAATTTTTTAGATGATGGTGTTTATCCAGAGCAGTGGCTCAGTGGTATAATTCGTCCTATTTATAAAGGTAAAGGTGACAAATATGATCCAGAAAATAATAGACCAATCAGTCTTTTAAGTTGTTTTGGCAAACTCTTTACAAGCATTATTAGTAATAGAATCCAAAATTTTATAGAAGACCAAAATATTTTATCCGAAGCGCAGACTGGTTTCCGTAAAAAATATTCTACAAGTGATCACATATTCACCCTTAAATGCCTTGTAGATTTATTTAAATCAAGAAAAAAGAAATTATTTTGTTGTTTTATTGATTTTAAAAAGGCTTTCGATAATGTAAGAAGGACTGCCTTGTGGAGTAAACTGTTAAGCCAAGGTATAGATTTTGAAATCCATGTATAGTGGTATAAAATCGTGTGTAAAGGTACATAGCATTGAATCAGATTTTTTCCCTTGCCTTGTAGGAGTTAGACAAGGAGAAAACTTATCACCTGTTCTATTTTCTTTGTTAGTAAATGACTTAGAAACATTTTTAATGTCCAAAGACTGTCCAGGTCTGTTAATTAACTCAGAAATAACACAATCCATGCTAGATTTATCTATTAAATTGTTTGCTCTTTTATATGCCGATTGACACTGTCCTTCTCGCTTCCTCAAAAACGAATCTCCAAAAAGCTATCAAGCATTTTGAATCATATTGCAAAATTTGGAAATTAACTATCAATATTGATAAAACTAAAATTCTAATATTTGGTGGTAATAAAAATGATATGAGTAAAGATATTTATCTCCATGGTGTTCCTTTAGAATATGTCACTGAATACAAATATCTTGGTGTTATATTTGATAAAAAGTGTTCTTTTAAAGCATCCATTGCTAATCTATGTCAACAGGCTACAAAATCCATGTATTTCGTACTACGTAAAAGCCGAAACCTTAATTTATCAATTCAATGCCAATTATATCTTTTTGACACAATCTTTTTGTTAATCTAAAACAAATTGAAAATGTACATATTTGTTTCATGAGAAAATTATTACCTGTTAAAAAGAGTACCCCTTTATGCATGCTTTACGGTGAACTAGGTAGAGTTCCGTTATCTGTTGATGTTAAAACCCCGTATGTTAACCTTTTGGTCGAAATTACTTACAGATAAATCCAGCAAAATATCTTCAATCATTTACTCTATTGTATATAACATCCATAATACAGGTGTTTACAACTATGACTGGATTTCATGTATTCAAAATGTTCTAAACAATATTGGTTTAAGTTATGTATGGTTGTCACAGTCTCCTGTTTCATCTTCCTGGCTCAAAGCAACAGCTCACTCTATTTTAACTGATCATGCTAAACAAACCTGGAGCTCTGAGGTGGAAAATTCAAAAAAAAGTGTAGTCTATTCTCTCTTGAAACCACAATTTGAATTAGAAAATTATCTGACGTCCCTACCCCTAAATAAAGCTATCCCTCTACTTTTATTTCGTACTTCATGCCACTACTTACCAATTGAAAAAGGAAGATGGAATAGGATACCTATTTGTGAAAGAAAATGTAAACTGTGTTTTATTGATGATATTGGAGATGAATTTCACTATATTTTTAAATGTCCATATTTTACTAAAGAATTTTTTTTGTATATCCCACCTACATATTCTAAAAGACCTAATATGATTAAATTTCAAAGACTTTTCACTTGTAAAGAGATATCTGTATTAAAAAACCTTAGTAAATTCTGTAAATATGTAATGCAAATTGTAAAATCTTCCGGCTAACCACATATCCGCTATTATAATGTGTATTTTGCTGTCATTTTGTACCTCATATGCCGAGGATCTCGGCCTGAGCGTAATAAAGTTCTGTTCTGTTCTGTTCTGTTCTGTCGACCTCGCCTGAATGGAATCCGGGGATTTGCGCCTCCGTTGTTCAGGTGGAGATGACGACTTCGACTCTAGTGTCGGCATTGTTCTCGCTCACGTTTTCTTTGATGAAGGTTACGCTGGTCTCTTTACTGGACATTTAAAACATTAGTGAGTGGGTTTAACGCCGCTTTTAACAGTATTCCAGTTACATCACGGCGTGTCAGCTTCATGTGGGAGGAAAGCCCGAAGTGATGCAGGCATCAGACGTTTACCACTTCGGTGAAACCCACGAGCACGGGTGTGGTGTTTAACATAATCGGGGCGAACCGGGATTCGAAGCCACAATCATAGGTTTCTGGCATGCCCAAGGGACGCAACTCTGCACAGCGAATCGCGGCGCCTTAGACGACTGGGCCACCCGTGTCCCCGGACATTTAAAACAATTGCCTATATGTTATCATTATACTTGTTAATAAGGCATTCTTTGATTAATTCAATCTTCTTTCTTTTTGAAAATGGAGATTCTTATGAACATAAACAACTACTTACAAAACCAAGTTTTACTATATTTTGGACCAGTTTATATTTTTACAACATATTCTATCATACTGTGTTCATATTATAATAGATGAGTAAATCTCTTTGTATTTGTTTACACCCCATGTTGGTGATCCATAAATAATTACAGGTTCAAGCAGTGTGTCATACTATTTGATAAAATCTTGATAAGACATTCCTCCTGCCGTGTCAATTTCGTAAATAATGATGATAATGCACAACTTGCTGATTTAGTATCCTTATTACGGTTGACTGCATCACCATTCTCAAACCTAATCACTAATCATAGTAATGGCATCTTCCAGTTTTAGTGAGAAAGACAAGAAATAAGTACTTAGGTTTTTGTTTTTATACGTGTAATGTTATAACAACATTTTATTTGACAATTTTATAACAATAAAAGTTCATGACAATTCATAAATAGAAGCACCATTACCAGTATGTATTTATGTTTAAAACAGAAGAATGAATAGCCCAAAAATATCTTAATCTCAAAGTTCTCAGTTCGTTTTTCCTCCGTCTTTATTTTTTAAGCATCAAGGGGCGAAATCCATTCAGGTACTGAAAAGCAGTCTTCTGGCCTGTCAAGTCGCTCCTTCAGGGACACAAGTCTGTTCTCTTTCTCAATGTAGACAGCCTTTCTTGGTGGTGGGGCTGCTCCAGAGAGATTTCCATCACTTTTGTATTTGGGGTGAGTTTTGATTGTGTTTTGGAAGTTTTGTGTGAAGTGGGCAGCTACATTTATAGCGTGAGCTTTTTCTTTGTTTGTGGATAGGTTCTGATTATTGGGGGGTGGGGTGGGGGGTGGGGGGTGGTGGGGTGGTGGGGGGGGGGGGGGGGGGGGGGGATATCCTTTTATGCATAGAACTGATACACATAAGGAAGAGAATTTATGGATGCCAGCTTCCTTATTAAAAGGAACACATCGTTTCGGAGTATATACTTGAACCTTCAGCAGCTGAATATATGTTATGAAGCAGAGAACATAAGCACCTGTATGAACAGCAAAAGTGAGTGAGATAGTGAGTGATCATGAGTGAGTTTAGATTTTACGTCGCATCGGCATAGTTTCAGCCATATAGCGACGAGACCAAGTTGATATATTCAAAAGTGAGTCATAAATGCAAGGTAATGTTTACAAACATTTTTTTAAAACAATTTTGGGCATAACAATATCATTTATAAAGTTTAAAAAAGGGGCTGTAGGCCAGTAGCAGCCAAAGCTAGGCTACTTCGCTTGGGATCATGCTTCCTGCACGATACCCGAGGAGGATTTACGTCATCGTTGTAGCAACTGATGGTCGTGCTTAATACTGGCCAATACTAAAATATATTCAGCGATGTGTTGGCTTAAAACACTGGTTGATGATACTTGCATCGATTATGATACGAATTACGTGTTATACTTGGGGACAATAATTTTACGGTGCCTCAACCTCCTGGACAGAGCTTTAATAATGTCAGTTAGTAAAATCATCACACTTAATTTAAAAACAAGCAATTAATTATTCACATACATATTTAGAATTTATTATGCAGACCGTTTTCTTTCAAGTAACTGGGATTTTGATGCCCGCTCAGACGGGAAAAGAGATTTTTCAGATTCACTGTTTGATAATGTGAATCCCTTGTGATAGTCATACCAAGTCATACACGCTTGACGGTGAACCTTTTATCACAAGGGATACCCTTAGGAGGTTCGTCCTCATCTGCTTCCGGCAGGTATTTGTGCGTAAACCGACGGTGGCCAATACGACATCCTCGTAAAACGACCTCATCATGTCTTGACTGACGACTGATTTAGATAAATCCAACATAATAGTCTCTAATAACGGTGGATATGTAAACAATGTAGACAAAAAGTGGTTAAGAAATTAAAGTTGTTACATATTTTATAAGTATCTTGGTATGTTATTTTCATCGAGGTTAGTCCGGTCCCGGGCTTGTGAAACTCTCACTTCAGGCTTTGAAGGCTCTGTTCCCATTTTATTAATTAATGAAAGTCTACCCACCACCGCACTTCCATTAAGCGTAGTTGTTGACCTATTGCATACAAAAGTAATGACTATATTATTATGCGGAACGGAGATATTGGGTTTCTCGTATATAGACAGTTTCTAAGGAAGGACAAACCAAACACCTTCCAAAACTAACATGAAAACATCTTTAGAAATAGTGTCAAAAGATTTTTCAAAGTCTATAAGAAGTAATAATCCAGGTTTGTTTTATTTCTTTGTTTCAAACATGATGTCACTAATACACATGCCTGGAATTAATCCAGCTTGGTTTTCACTGATAGGCACTGGGAGTATTTTCATTATCCTTATAGTAATGCAAGTAATAATTATTGTATTAATTTTGTTCAAAAGTTATAATTGCAGCCAGTTTTTCAATATATTTCCTACTTTTATTAATTTTTGGTTAACACTCCACTATTCATTGTCATTGTGAGAGCATTGTTTTTGGAAAGTTCCTTAATATATCTATAAATCCAAAATGTAAGGTCATTCCCAAAGAATTTGAAAAAATTCAATTGGAAATCCATCTAGCCCTGGACATTTGTTATTTTTCATTAATTTAACAGCTACATCTATATCTTTAATATTAAAATCTTGTTCTGATTCTGTCTGAAGTAGGTATTTCCACAGTATTAAGAATAGTCATATTGACCTCATCAATAGGCCCGGTTGAAGATTTTGATAGAATAGTTTCTGTTCATCCAGTATTTTGTGATCATCGAATATTTCTTCCCCATTTCTATTTATAAGACTTTTGATGAATTCACTTGTGAAATTTCTATTTTCGAGATGGTAGATATATACTCTCTCAAAAAAAGAAACGCATATAAGAATTTTAACTACAGATTTCTTTTTATTTTGATACACTGTGGACAAGTTAATAGCAAATGGAATTCGAAGAAATTTTACACAGGAAATGTCAAGGTAACACTGTTGAATAAGACATCGGAAAAAGTCAGTTAATGAATCACACATCAACGGTTGATGGCGCTGAAGTCAGTACCTCGTATGACCACCATTGGCGTTCTGAACTGCGCGACATCGTTTCGGCATAGAACGAATTAGTCTCTGAATCTGATGTTGCTGCAATGTAGCCCACTCTGCCTGTAGTGCATGTGCTTGTTGCTGGAGTGTCTGGGGCTTTGGGTTACGCTGTCGCACCCGTCTGTCCAGGGCATCCCAAAGATGTTCTATCGGGTGTAAGTCTGGTGATCTGGAGGGCCAGGGCAGCACATTGATGTTCTCATTCTGGAGGAAGGCCCTCGTGACACGTGCCGTATGAGGTCTGGCGTTAACCTGCTGGAATAGCTCCCTCTGGCGGTTGATAATGGGAAGGAGGTGTGGACGAATGACTTGATCCCAGTAGCGTTGCGCTGTCAGGTTGCCTTGTATCAACACCAACTCACTTCTTCCAGTGTAGGATATGGTTCCCCACTTCATCACGCTGCCCCTGCCGAGTCTGTCCACCTGGGGGACACTGGCGTCGGCAAAACGTTCATGACGTCGTCTGTACACCCGCATTCTTCCATCGCGTCGTTCCAACAGAAATCTCGATTCATCGCTGAACCAGATTCGACGCCAATTCACCAAATTCCAGGCCTGAACGTTTGTACACCATTGAACGCGATGACGTCGATGCTGCTGACGCATAACGGGGCCAAAGTAGGGTCTTCTTGCTCTTAAACCTGCCTCTCGTAGTCTGTTCCCGACAGTCTGTGCAGATATCCTTCTCAATCCGGGTATTTGCCTAGCGGTAGTGGTCGCTGTAGCTGTTCGCTGACGCAGGTGATGTACCCGGATGTACCTATCTTGCGCCGCAGTGGTGACTCGAGGACGTCCACTTTTAGGTCCATCTTCCAACGAGTTCTGCTGCCGATATCTCTCCCAGAGACGAGAAATCGTGCTTTGATGAACATTCATTCGACGGGCAACTGTAAGTTGAGATTGTCCTGCTTCCAGGAGACCTATGGCGATGTGACGATTGGCGCGGCTCAGTCTTGGCATTTTGCAGTCTTCACAAACTTCCAAATAAAGTGAATGAAAAAAGACGGAGATCGATCTTTTATACCCATCCACGACACGATGTGATCCCCGAGTTTCCCGCGCATTGCACGTGCAATACGTGTTCTGTTTCATTAAATGCGTCTATCGAAAATCTTGCTTTAACATACGGGTTTTTCATGCGGGATGCGTTTGGATATGACGTTTTAAGACAAAAACACCAGAGAAATCATAAACTAAACAAAACAAATTGAAAAACCCACCCTGTACCAAAACATTGCTGCATCAAATTACCATTTTCGTTATGCGTTTCTTTTTTGAGAGAGTATATTTGGTAGGCTTTTATCATTCTTCGTTCCATTGCGTCCTATTTCTGATTTTGATCTTGTTCCCCTTTGACCTTTTCCAACTTCACTCAGCTAATATTCCGATGTTCTGAAAGTTTGAGTCTGATCATGTCCTCGAAGTCTTTAATTCTAAATTCTCTATTTCCTTCATCTTTCTTTCTGAAAGTTGGCATAAGAAATATTTGTTTCTCATTTCTTTCTGAAAGGTGGCATAAGAAATAGTTTTTCCTCATGAATTAAGCGTCTTAGAGGCCAAGTTCTAAGTTTAAAACTTCAACAGTTTTAATTTTCCAAATACTAGTGCCTTCCTTAGTATACTCTCTTTTTGTTTCTAGTAATAAGTAACAAGAGTCTCAGGGTGATCTTCATTTCTCGGATGGGGTGTGCTGAATTTCCAGACAAGGCTAATAACTAAATGGTCAGACTTGTATCCTGGAAGTATATGTCTACACAAAGTTAAATTTCCTATAATTCCAGAAAAAAGGTCAAGCCTGGATTGCTGCCTATGATTTCTCAGCTACTATATATATTTTCTCATAGAAGGATTGTGGTTGCTCTACATATCGACCCTGTCAATGTCACATGTTTTAGGGTCCTTAATATTCGTTATAATCTTCTAAGCCTACGGATGGATTTAAGACAAGATTCCAATCTCCACAAATCACAAATGATTCAGTCTTTAATCTATCAATATAATCAAATAATGTTTTGTAAAAGGTGGGAGTTATCATTATTAGGCACATAAAAATTGGTAAGTGCCATAACTTCAAAAGTGGCATCTGCAAAGATAAATTTCCATCGCACCCTTTCTTAATTTATGAATCAGGATTTCAGCCTCCAGAATTGGATTACAGGGAGCGATAATGCTTTGAAGACCCCATTAATTTCTCATTGCGTTTTATAATTCTTGTGAAATGTGTGTAGCCCGAAGGAAAATTATGGAAACTTTATTTTTACGCCACATGATGGATTCAATTGAGGGATTAGCCAGCCGAGAGAGAAAATGAGTTCACGTCCTCCATGCGCAGTGCCACCTTGTCTTCCGCAGCGCTACCTTGAAATGCAGTAACATACCTGGCGGTAACAGTACTTTCTGTGTTTCCCGCGCGTAAGCTTCAAACTTTTTATGTAAAGCAGGTGTACATGTACCTGCTCCTTCTGTATCCTTTCAATACCTTACCATACTTCTGACCACCAGTATGATGGCATATTATATCATGGATGGTGCCAGTATTAGCCATTACCAGTCTTTCTGTCTAAACTTGGCTGTATCTTTTCTTTTTTTGTCAAATCATTTTTATTCCAGTTTCAGTGGTTACATACACAGTGATATATACATATATAACAATTAACATTTTGACACCGCATATTTGGAGGATAGGCCTTGATCATGAAGGGTCGAGCAAGATGTTCTGGCATGAAAGTAGTTAACACCATATTTATGAGCAATCGTAGAAAGATAAGCTAATAATAAAGGAATAAACAGTACCGAATTATAGTATTGTAATCCTTATCTTTCTTTGGCAATAGAGTCAAAGTGACTGGAAACAATCAATAATAACACACAGTCAGCAATCTATGTAAGATTCAAGGCATCATGTAAACCACAATACAATATCCACTTTTTGTTATAAGTGCTAAGCTTATTATTAGTTTTTGCTGACAGATATTCCAAATAAATAGCATCTTTTAATACTTGTTTAAAAACGTCCAATGAGGGTTTCCTTTTCTTTAAACTAGAAATAAAAATGTGTCTCTTAGCTAACATAATAATATGATTATTTGCAGGTTTTGCACTTATTTCACCAAAACATACATTAAATCTTGTAAAAAGTATATGATTATTTCCCACAGAATTCAGGAAAGCCTCCAAGTTTTGCCAGAATTCGAATACATATTCACAGTCATAAAATACATGCATCAAGTTTTCTTTCTCTATCTTGCAAAATTCACATAAATCATCATCGACAAGTTTCGTTTTAGAAAGTTCTTTTTTTGTATATATCATTCTATGCAGAAATCTAAATTGAAAATCTATTGATTTTACATCTCTAATGTCTATTCTAAAAGAGAATTTTTTTTAGCCCATTCTAAGCATTCACCAAATTCAATTTCCCATTTCTTACATATTTTAGGTTGTGAGTCAGAAAAAATAAGTTTATCATAAAAGAATCTTGAACCTTTTTTACAAATCAATAAGTCCTGATAACAAGGAAGAATATCAGGTCAAAGTATAAATCTACATCAAAATGTTTTTTAATTGCTGTTTTCCATGCTTGGGGAATAATTGTAATAAGCTGAACATAATGCAAAAAGGTCCCTTTAATATTGTATCTTTCTTTTAGAATTTTAAATGGAATAAATCTATTTCCCTGACAAATATGTTTTAGGGACCAAATACCCTTAATATACCAATCTTTTATGAAAAACTTTGGGGAATTTAAGTAGTGGTTTAACCATAATGGTTGATTCATAATGTTTTCAATAAGAGAAAGGTCTAATTCATATTTTCCAAAATATTCACACCAAGCTTTAATAACATCGTTCCAATAAGGGTTAGAAACTTTTGTGTAAATAAAAGCATTTGAACCTAATCTTAGTAAATCTTTTACTGGAATGTCATATTGCTGACATTTCTGATGTTTAATACATTTACTGAAAAATAAGATTTTTAGAGATTTCACAAAAGTTTTAATATCGGGCATTCTTAGTCCCCCATTATTATATTCTCTCTTAATATTTTCTCTTTTTATTTTATCTGTTTTTCCGTTCCAAAGAAAATCAAAAAATATTTTATCTAATTTCTTAATAAAAGCATCGGGCGGATTTGGGAATGCCGTGAATATGTGAACTAGCTGTGGTAAAGCAAGTGTTTTAATAACTGTAATTTTCCCAATTAATGTTAAATGCCTTTTTCTCCAGTTTGCAATCTTTTACGAGTATTGATTACCCATAAATCCTTTAATTCCGGGTTAAGAATAATACCTAGAACTTCAAAGTCTCCAGTGTGCCACTCCAAGTTGAGCTGATCACATATTTTTAATCTACTCCCAGCGAGGGCGCCTATCCATAAAGCCTTTGTTTTATCCATATTAATTTTCAGCCCTGACATTTGGTATCAAACGTTAAGTGTTTTAATTACAGCATTAAGACATTCCGGAGTACCCTCTAAGAATAATTCAGTGTCATCTGCATATTGACCAAGTTTATGTTCTTTTCCATGCATCTCTATACCTCTAATGTTTGTATTCTCTCGAATAAGTATGCTTAGGATTTCAGCTACTAGAATAAAAAGATATGGGGAAATGGGATCACCTTGTCTACATCCTCTTTTATTTTCAAAGAAAGAAGAAAGATGGCCATTTTGTATGACACAGGACGAACTATTGTTTAACTGATATCATATAATAATCTTATATTTTCTGCTATGCATCTTCCTGGTATAAAGCCAGTTTGATTTTCATCAATTAGGGAAGGGAGAGTTTTCTTTATTCTATTTGCAATACATGCACTCATTATTTTGTATAATATATTAAGGAGAGTTATAGGTCGCCAGTTTTTAAGTAAAGTTCTATCCTTTTTACCTTTGGGAATACAGGTGATGATACCTCTGTTTACTGTTATTGTTAATTTCCTATTACTAAAAGATTCATTAATGTATCTGAAGATCCAAGGGCCTAATTCCTTCCAAAAAAAATGTAAAAAATTCTATGCTGAAACCATCAAGACCTGGACTCTTGTTATTTTTCATATCCAAGTGATTGTATTTTCTTCTTTTTTTTTCTTCTCTTCAAATAAGTTGATATTGAAATTGAGTTCCCTCTAACTTTCATCAAAAACGTTTCGAATACAATTGTTGCTGGGTATTTTAATTTTAAAAGTTCCACTGGAACATTATCCTGATCATCACAGGCATATTCAAGTTTAACTTCTTCAAGTGTTTTTTAACCATATCACAATATTCCTTATTATATAACAAAGAGGAATTGAATTTCCAGTAACCCTTCCCTTTTTCTTTGTTTACAGATGTGGATAAGGTTAAAGAGATGGCTGAATGATCCGATTTGTAGACTGCTGATATATTTGCATCTAGTGTAATATTACTTACATTTTCTGATATTAAAAAGAAGTCTAGTCTACCTTGTTGTCGCGGGTTCTTTTTCCACCAGGTATATTTATTAAAAGTAGGGTTAAGTTCTCTCCAAATATCATGAAGATTATATCTCTCCATATTTTCTATAATAAAATTTCGCGCTTTAGGGTTGTTGATATGTTTATAATTTTCAAGATCTATGTTTGGATCTATTACCAAATTCCAATCACTACATATATCCCAAGAGTCATTTTCAAATTCTAGCATATCTGTAAATAATTGTTTATAAAAATTTGGATCATCATTATTAGGGCCATAAATATTAGCAATTACCATATCAAGTCCATCAATATTTAGTGAAACAATTATGAAATTTGGCTGTATCTTGTTTTATATACTGAACCGCAAAAGAAACGTCACCCGAAGTAACATTGCATGAAACGTTGTCATTTAAATATCTGGGTAATTTTTGTAGAAGTTTCTAAATGTAACATTACCTTGTCCGGAAAAATGAAGTCTGATGATAAAAAAACAAAGCAGATGACAATAAAACCAATCGCCCAAACGCATCACGGCAACGGCTATGGTAACCCGATGCACGTGAGTACCGTGCAAATTGAAATGCACATGCGTTGAAATTAGCAACACCAAGCCCTTGGACGATCGCAAGCTGGACAAACCACCCGGGAAGTAGCCAATGCATTTCAAGTCCTTGAAAGGACCATATACAGGCTCCAGCAACAGTACCAGACCACTAACACTACAGATGACAGACCACGTAGTGGAAGTCCAAGGGTCACCAGCCGACGTCAGGATCGTCAGATTGTGCGACAGCATCTTCAAGATCGCTTTGTTACTGCTGCGGAAACTGCTCATCAGAACATGGGGACACACCAGCGACACATTATAGCGGACACCGTGCTTCGACGATTGACGAGCAGACACCTCCACTGTCACAGGCCACACCGAGGACCCATTCTGACACCACGTCATCGTCGGGACCGTTTTCAGTGGGCAACACAGCACCAGCATTGGCGCCACCAGCAGTGGAGAAGAGGACTCTTCTCAAACGAAAGCCGTTACTGTATCTCAACAGCAGATGACAGACAGAGAGTCTGTCGACGCCGTGGGGAACGTTATTCGGATGCTTGTGTTGTTGAGAGAGACTCGTGGGGTGGTCCGAGCATCATGGTGTGGGGTGGAATTGGTCTTGCACAGAGGGTCGGCACTGTGGTCTTCCAGAACATCGGTCCAGGGAGAGGCAATGGTGTCACAGCAGCTCGGTACATTGATCAAGTCTTGAGACCACACGCCATACCTCATTAGGCACGTCGCCGAAATCCCGAGTTTCAGCGTAATAACGCCCGTGCCCACACTGCAAGAGCAACAAGAGACTTCCTCCAGCAGAATGGCATCAGAACCATGCACTGGCCTGCTTTCAGTCCCGATTTAAATCCCACTGAGCACCTGTGGGACGAGATTCAAAGACGGCTGAATGACGTGAGACCAAGGCCGACAACTGCAGCTGAACTGCATCAGGCGTTCCTCAGAGTTTTGGGCTCAAGTGCCCATGGCCTTCATCAACCGCCTCATCCATTCCATGTATCGACGTTGCACGGTAGTCGTCAATGCACATGGCGGACACACGGGATACTGACTTGTGATGCTATTTGCTCAGAGACTAGTGTTGTGTTTCACTTTAAGAACATTTGACACTTTAATTTCAACATTGATGATCAGTTTTGCCAAGTTTCATCTTTTCAATATGTCTCAAAGTATGTTTACAGTGTTTGGCGAAATAAGATTTCTCATATATCTCTCCATGGTGACGTTTCTTTTGTGGTCAGTATATATGCGTTTTTGGTTATGTTTCAAACCACTCGCCTCGAGGTATAACACCTAACGCGGGACGGAAAAACACATCAGATCAGGATACTGCTACAACGTAACACTGAAAAAAGGAAACGACAATATTGTCATCAACACTCAGATTTATTACTTTGTGTCTGTGAATCAATCACTTTGTTACATTGCAGTGACACATCAGTTACATAATTTACTCCAACAAAATTCAACATGGAAAGAAGTTTGATGTGGGTCACCTGGCTATCATATTGGGAAATATCCGTAACATCCTTGTCAGTCGGTATATTCCTGAAACAGTGTAGATGCGACTTACTCCCATCCTTGTTATGGTTTCAGTCAACGTACGTTTGTGTCATTGTGGTGTGGCCAGTGTTACAATTCTCATCCCGACGGACATAATGGTAGAATTGGGATGTTCTTCTATATGGTTACAGGCTAGATGGGATGGCTCGGCATGTTACTTATCTGTTATCATATCATTTCCTATGATCATACATCTGGTTGCTGTGTATATGGTATATATTTTTACATTATCACGCCCATTTCGGAAGGTTCTACACAACTGTCAAATGTTCCCAATTATCATATTTAATTGTCGTGAACTATCATTGTGTACATCTGTAAAACAGTCATACGCTGTCTTCCATGGAATGGTTTCTACTACTACTACTACTACTACTACTACTACTACTACTACTAAGGGATCATGAAATATATATGTCATTCTTCATTTTGACATTCAATGAAAGGTCTGAGTCATTAGTATTTTTTATTTTCATTATGCTATTGGCATGCTTCAAACTGGTAACAATCAGCGAGAGGTAGCCGATATGGTCATTGTGTCTCAGTCTGTGATTTGCAAACTTAAGAACAGGTTTCTGCAGACACAAAATGTTAATGATCGGCCCTGCACAGGGCGCCCTATGTCAACAACACAATTCCAAGATCGATTAATCAGAAACCAGGCCTTCAAGAAATATATCCCAGACAGCCAATCAAATCGCTGTTCACATGCGCCAGGCCACCGGATTTCAAGCTACTGACCAGACAAATGAAACTCATCTGCATGCTCAGCGACCACGCAGTTGCTTGTGCAACATTGTGGATACTCAATCACTCAGACGCACATATTCTATGAATATAGTGTCGAAATATTAAGAGACGAGTCGGTGTCCGTACCATGTCTCCACCTTTATAAATAAGGCAGCGATGCAGTGAAGCCACTTCCTCTCACTGATTCAATCCGAGAATTAGCGTCGCAGCATACATTCATGGTAAAAGTAGGAGGAGTTGACACCGTGTGTCAGATAAATCAGAACGGTATGGAAATCAAAAGTTTTTTCTTGAACTACCGCATTTGTGGCCTAGTAGGACAGTGCGTCTGCCCGGAGAGCAGAAGGTCAGTGGTTCGATCCCTGATCGCGTCATACCTAAATACGTTAACAGGTGGTAATTGTTGTAACCCTACCTGGCGTTCGCCATTAAGGGCATAAAACAATGACTAGTTGGTTCCGCGTGGAGTATCCATATTATACCTCCAGCGTGGTATCACCGTGGTATTGCACTATAAAACCCAGCCTGTGCGCTATTACAAGCAGCCACACACACACACACACACACACACACACACACACATATATATATATATATATATATATATATATAAATACACACACACACAGACACCGGTGCATTCACGTCGCTATATACATACAATAATCATGAACGCGACATTAAACTCCATTTTAACTCACCTCACCTCACATTTTTCTTGAAAAATCAACCCGCCATGGCAAACATAACATTACCCGGGTGCATGCTTTGAACAATATATTGCATCTTTTCGCCATGCCTTGACTCTACATCTGGTCTGTATAACAGATTACGGCATACTATAATAGCTGATAGAAACAACACGGGAGATAAATTTAATTCGTTAACAACTGAATGGAAGGAAACTAATTTGATTACACGTTACTGAAACCTATTCAAGATAAGTTCACACTTGAGAGAGAGTGAGTGAGAGAGAGAGAGAGAGAGAGAGAGAGAGGGGAGAGATTAACTGCTCGACATGTAATGCTATCAATAGCATTGTAACCACTCATCAAACAAAAACTCGTTGAAGATCGTGAATTTGCCCAATCATACTGAAACGATACAATCAATGGATAATCTTCTCTGTAATATTCCAGTTTTTCTGTCCACATGTATAGCTCTATACATGATAAACGGTACGAATACCAGTTGGACTTTCTCAACATCGGCCCTACTATTATTACTATCTGGTTAGTATGGGCAGAGTGTTACTGTCGATTGTGGAGCTTCTCTGCTGACAGCGCCAGGATGAACATGCTCTCCTCCCAAAGCCTGTAAGGCCTGTCCCAACTGAGAGTGGCTGTTACACTGCTGTCTCACTGAACTGCCACACTTGGCTTGGTGTAATCACCTCAGAATGCAGTCGTGCTATCTTCCTGGAGGCGGCAAGGGGGCGCTCTGCTGATTGGGTCCGCCGTATTGGCTCTCGGCCAAATGTACTGGAATCACGTGATCTGCCCCTGTTATCCTTGCGTCAGAAAAGATATGGCATTATTTACGCTGCACACACTCACCAAACAAACAAACATACTTATTCTAATATTCACATGTCAATTTGTTAGGGTGATTGACATATTGCTCTGTGTATGCGAGAGTTCGTGTGCCTGCGCGTAATAAATAGTTTTGACAACATTTACATGTATGCTACTGTGTGATAATGTGCTTTCATGTAAGAAGTTCTATATAATGTATGACATAATGTACCCCTTGTTGCTGACTGGTCATCGCCGTGGCAGCAGTGACAACTGTTGATGACCTCTGTGCATCTTGAAACGGGGTGGTGGCTTGTGACAGTTGCGGTGATATGTCGGGGGAGTCGTCGTGTGTTGGCGGGCTTGGGGCAACCGATTCAGAAATCTTGCTGGACTTTTTGAAAGGCAATTTGAATTTACTCCTCACGCTGGCAAGAATGTCTGAAATTGAAAAGCAATGTGAAGGTTACGCGATGAACCTAACAACCATTGGCGCCGATTATATAGTGCATGAAGTATGCGCCATAAACGAAAAACCTTTTGAAGGTGGAAAATATTCATTCATGTTTTGTACACGTTTACTGAATGCGTTATGAACAATTTCTACTTCTTCATGACTTTCGTACGCAATCTGTGAGAATAGCATGTATATCTAGGGAATATTACCAGTGGGTATGAAACCCGTAGGTGCAGCAACAGGCATAACCTGGGTACCCATCTTGGCCAGTGAACTCCCAATGTGGCTCTCCATGCTGCTTGACTTCTTAAAGAAGCGTCTTTTCTCTTTAGCAGACAATTCCTTTGCTGGTTGCGTATTCGACTGGTCTGTGCTGTGTTCTGGGTATTTCTTTGACGTTACAGACTTTGAGTTCTCAGTTTGAACAACTCGATGGTGCATCTTCTCATCCCAAGACATAGACGATTTCATATTAAATGTACGTGGGCTGTCAGACCTGGCCAGCAACGAGTAGTCCTCCTCAGCTTCCTTTCTCACTGTGGAAGGATCGGGAAGACTCGACTGTTTCTGGTGGTGAACTATATTATGCTGTTTCCTCTCAGTCCAGGACAGGAAGCCAATTTCAGACGCGGGTCTCTCCTCGAAAAACTTGCGTCTAGCCGAACGCGGAGATAACCTGTCTAGACTTCCGACCTTCGGCGGTGAAAACGAGGCATCGTCTTCTGGTGGCGGCACAATGGCAGAAAACTGTGATGCAGCATACTGTTCTGTAGGTGTGGTTCCTGCAGACACTGATTGGGTGGTCGTGTTATGTTCGCGAGAAGTCAGCAGATGGCTTGCAGGAGCAGAGTCCATGGATACACTTTTCTGGAGTGTTGTAGGTCGCGCTGCGCAACTACTTGATGACGAGGGAATGACAGAAGGGGTTGGAGACAGAGATTCACGCTGGGACGAAGATAAACTAGGGGAGGTTGATCGGGATGCCTGTGCACTTTTGCTACCGGGAGAATAAAAAGGACTGTGCGTCATCCGGGAGAACATGTATCTTGTAGGTGACGCAACATCTCGCAAAGGAGACACCGTCGAATTGTCGAACGTACTGCTCTTTTGTAATCTGTACGTTGTGTTTGGTCTATCTAAACTGTCCCTACTTTTCGCCACTAATACGCCGCTACCTTCCCTTTGTATATCTGTAAGTTCTTCTTTTATCAAATCTATCTCTGAACTTGACAGACTTCTGAAAATGTAAGAAATGAATCAGCGGAAGGCATGTGAATGTATAAGTTAGGTAAAATATGTTTCTTCTTAACTATCCAAATGGGTCATGAACAATGATACAACCATTATCAACAAATATTGTCCATGTTCTCAGATTAATGTTTCCTAATACATGTCTACATATTATACTCTGTACACATTCACGTTGCTTCTTTCTTCAAAACTCATGTCGATGACCATTTCATTGATATTTTTCTTTACATATTTTTGCGTGCGTCAGTGATCATTGCTTTAAATGCCGTTAATATATTGTATTGTTTTGACATAATTAACAATATGTTAATTCGACCATGTATTCCCGCTGTAGGTACCTGCGTATCTGTGACCGGTCATCTTGCAGAGTGCTGGCGTGTTTTGACAACATGTCAGCAGTGGCCACGATGTCAGCAAGTGCCTGCAACATCATCAGAGGCATCCGCATCATGCATTCCCTCACAGCAAACAAACCTGTTGTCACTACTAATCTACTTCACCAACATAACTCTGGGATAACTAGTACACATGTGTTTATAGGAGTGAAAAAGATATATTTCTGAACAAAGATGAATGATTAAGGGCGTATATTTCGTTATATATAAGGATTCAAGTTATATGTTTATATTAGCGCAATATAACTATAATTTTAAATATTTCGGAGAATATAATTGTTTTTTTATGATAATTTAAGGATCTGAACAGTTAATCCGGTTCACATAAATAGAGTTAAGGGTTTCAGAAAGAGGGTAAAATAAATATAAATATATAAAATATATGTGTGTCTGGGGGGACTGTTGTAATGAAGACCTGTGCATTTGGAGAGGTGGTTATATTGGACACATTGAAACCTGTTCGAATTATCATTTTGGATGCTTTGCCACATGTATTTGGATGATCTCTGGTCATTCCGAACGAATGACCGAAGTTTCAACTTTTGAATAAATTGATAGATAGTGGGTCAAAATTCATTTTCTATATGGTTGCCTATCACTGGATTGTCTTGCCCTACAATATTTCATACAGAAATGTCTGAATCAAGTAGTCATTATTTGACGTAGTCGTTTGGTTAATGTGTACGATATCAGTTATATGAAGGATTATATTTTTTACGCAATCTCTTTCAACTATTCTTACCTTCTTGATGTACTTTAAAACAGTCTGAAAATACAATGATGAACACAAAATCAGATCACTATTCCGAAACTATGAAACACCGAGAGTATGCAAGAGAAGAAATAAAAGATTAGGGTGGCGTCGTACAAAACAACCTTAGCACTACGACTGTCGTAAGTCTATGTTAAGGTATGGGAGCTACGATCACCTTAGGGCTAAGCTCGCTTTGTACAACGGCACCTAGATGACTTCAGTTTAAAAATTATGAGTAATATTTTCAAAATCCCAAATTGTTGTCACCTTATCGAGACTGACCGCTTCATAGTCCCACGGGGCCTGGGTTCCGAGAGTGATCTCTTGCTTCTCTTTAGAAATTAGTTGTCCCAATTCTCTCAGTCTGATCAACTGAAGAAATATGGAAAAGAATATACTAAAAACATGTACGTTACTCCTAAACAACAAGAAAAAGATATAAGGTAAAGTCATAACAAATAATTTTGTATTAATGCAATTTTCCTTTAAATATATACGTGTATGTTTACAACGAAATCCGTTATTGTAAATTAATTTCGGTATCATTGATGTAGAACCAATTTTGTCCCCTCTGGAAATAAGAAATCCAGATGCCTGTTTGTACAGGACTGATCATTTCATATTCTGGGTGGGTGTTTTTTTTGGACAAAAGCAATTGCCCCCCCCAAATGATTGAAAAAAATAATTATGCTTCTTAGTGTTGAAAAAGTAAATAAATCTGCTACAACAAAAGATATTGCTGCAAGATGTTCTTTCAATAGTTATTGTTGTCTTAAACGAAATGTTCAAATGACTCCGCTGTCTCATTGCTTTGACAAATACGTATTATACACATACGTTGCTGAGTATATCGGATACGCGCTTCGTATCTCTCGAATGTGCGGCTTTACTCTCTGAAAGGCGCCTGTATAGATCGTTTCTCTCCCTCAAGTCCGCCTCCCGCGCTTCATCGTGTGTCAGTACAAGCTCCGTGCAGCGTTTCTGTAACGACACCAGTCTCTTCCCACAAGATTCGTACTGAAATTGCAAAGAGTACAAACTGACATTAATGACAAATATTTCATACAGAAATGTCTGAATCAATTTCAACTACAGTAATTTATTCAGAGTATGAGTAAACGTGAGTATGAGTTTGTACCTTTTTAATAGCTCTGTGCTGCTTAACTAAAACCAATTCTAATTATTTGGTGACTGAAAGTACCTCATCGTAAAAGATTACCTCCGCCATGGCAATGTCTCTCTCTCTCTTCTCTTTATTGTATGCTTGTCTCTCCACCTCCAACTGCTGCAGTAGGACACGACGTTCCTTACTGTACTCCTCGTCACGTGACTTGAGCTGCTGTTGAAGGTCAAGGGCAAGGTTATGGGCCTCCTCGAGCAGCCGTTTCTGTTCCGTCCTCTCCTTCTCCCACGCCAGTTCCATGTGACTATGAATATCCTTGGCTTTTGTCTGAGCCCTTGATGTCAAAGACAGCTTCTCCTCCATCTACACAGGTCACACAAGGTGTTACCTAACTGTCGCGTACATACACGTCAATACTAGCTAACATTACCCCTAGCTTATGCTATCATAAACTGTTTGATTGGCATTTGTAGAATCTTTGGAATTTATCACCAAGTCAGGCCGAAAACAAGCCATATCAGACCATATAATCAACTGCCCTAATCACAACATCATGTGGGCCAATGTACAAATCCTATCTAACAATCTCCATGATTCAACAAACGGAAACTAGCAGTGGCAGTTTAAATCCGCCGACACAAGCAATCATCAACAGAGATCAAGGATAATCCAATCTGCCCACAATGAATACATGACACATTTTTGGGATAGCAACTTCTTTTATTCTTTATCACAACGTTTCAGATCTACGCCTTGTACATTCATCATGTGAATGAATTGATAAAACAGAATGCTCTAACTATCATCTCTTATCAATCAACCATTAACGTCTTTCTGTTGTTACTATATGAATCAATTATTATGTCCTTTGTTGTTGTCAATCCCTTCCTTGTATACTGGCATGTTGTTTTAGTTTATTATTATTACATGTGTATAACCCTGTACTGTGCTGTCTTACTTCACTCTATCTTGACAACGGTAAAAGGATCTATACTGAAACATCGCAAAGAAGTTCCCAAAAGAATTAACGTGGCGTTTATAGACTCTGTTAGAAACACAATTATCTGCCCTTGATTTGTAAGCGATAAGCGGTTGATTTTTAGGCGAATATACCTTCCGGTTTGTGCAGGCTCCAGTCGTTTACAACAACAGTCGTTTACAAGGCTGTTTGAATAGATGATACTGTTTGAATAGATACAGGTGTTCTTTTAAGCCTTGTTCTTTCTCCATACCATTTTCTATCTTGAATATTCAAATACTGTAATTTAAACAATGTGCTTTCAAGACGACGTTCTAATGCCAAATTAAACATGTGTTACAACATTGCTAAAACTCTCTATCATATGCTTTCTCGCCGCAATAATGTATCATTGATGGAAATGTGTATGCTTTATCCTGTTTATGATATAGCTGTACCTAAGGTTAGACTTAACAAGAAAACGCCGTTATCACTATCCCCCCGCCATGGGGTACATTAGAATTTTGTTTGTTTATATGGTACATGTAGTTAATATAAACCAATGAAAAGGTCCCATAAAGCCTTAAAAATAGAGAGCCACTTGGGGCGCTTTATGTCATCAGGAAAATTGATTAAATGTGCAATTAATACACACAAAATGACCCTTATAATAATAAATAACAACGTTTTGATAAGTATCTCTTAGATAGTTAACTTATAGTAGTTTCTGAGATACATGAGTCCCCATTGCCGACACTATGCACCAAGTAAAATAACATGGATCGAGGGCCATAACTGTGTAAACAAATAATTTGCGGGACCAATTCTCGAACTCAGTGTTGAATAGTATGCACACTTTCATTCATGTAACTAAGGTAGTTTCTGATAAATCTGTCCCCTTTGCACACAGTATGCACAAAGTAAAATAAAATTGATCAAGCGCCGTAACTATGTAAAGTTTAAAAGAAATATTACGGGATCAATTTTCGAACTCAATCTTGACAAGTATCTCTTAGGTAAGCATGCAAACTTTCATTTGAGTAACACAAGTAATTTCTGAGAACACTTGTATCCCCAATACATTTAGTTGAATAGCATGGAGCAATGGCTATAACTCTATGAGAAAAAAATTGACGGGACCAAGTTTTGAACTCACTCTTGACAAATATCTCTTAGATAGGCGCGCAAAGTTTCATTCATGCAACGTCAGTAGTTTCTGAGAAAACGTGCCCCAAGTTCACAGTATTCACTAAGTTGAAAAGCATAGAACAAGGGCCATAGGTCTTAAAAAATGAATGTATAACACAATTTTCACACTCATTTGAGACCTCTACCAGTGACACTAGTGTGTAAAATTTCATTTCTCTAACTTGAATAGCTTTTGAGAAAATGTGTCCACATTGAGATGCGAAAGGACGGACGGACGGACGGAAGGGCGACCTCCGTTCCTATATCCCCCTGCTCCCCCTGCCCCACTTCGTGGAAAACAACGTTTCGGAGTAAATACTTACTCATTCATAATAAAGAAGTTGACATCAATAAATACTTTTCCTTATGTGTATCACTTCTAAATGCATTTCAAAGACTTTATAATACTATGGATATTAAAATTCATCATCACTTGTCAAGTTCCCTTAAATGTCACCAGCGGGAACTTGTCACACATGAACATGGATTCTAACCAAATCTGATCGTCTAGAAACGGTATTTTGTAATTTTAAGTTGACATTGGTCTCTGTGAATGGCTAGCTTCTTTCCTTGCATTTCAATACTTTTTTGGCGTTTCTCTTTTTCAAGTGATTGATGTTGGCATTGAGAACTTTGGTTTGTTGCCAGGTAATATCGTGGTCAGGATGATCATAATAGTGTTATTTCTGTACGTTAAATCCAACCTTATTTTAACATATCAGCATGTAGAAATGTGACCAACCAGGAGAAAAGGGACCTAGGATACAATTGTACCGTTACGTCACAAAGAAAGTTTGACGTTAACTTACTTCCGTAAAAATCACCATGTGTGTGGACTGAAGAAAAATATCTTATTTTTCATTTTTTAATTCGTAATGTAACAAAAGCAGACTTTCAAACCATTTTCAGCACACGTCTACTTACAACTAAGCAGGCATCATATCTAAAAACTGCAATCATGACATATCGAGTTTTAAGTCTGAAAAAGGGACTTTGCAGAAAATGAATCCAATGTTTGTTGGCATGTATCTCTGTAACAAATATGAACTGAAGCTTGTGAATTGTATTTTTGTGACCCTAAGATATTGTACTTGTACAATATGTAATAAAAAGTCAAAGTGTGATTTTTCACCCATAAGATCCCTATCTCATGGTTGGTCACATATATAAACCCAATACGGACATCTGATGAAGGGACACTGAAGCGTCGAATAATCTGGTTGATATCCATAAAAGAGTGTCACGTAAAATCCCCATATGTAATGTTTTGTTTCCAATGTACTCGCTGGAAGCGGGGAGTTGTCAGGGGCGACAACTCTGTCTTATTTTCCTTAGGCGTTTCTGATAGAGCCTATAGAGCAAATTACTATAATATCATGGTTGCCGAAGATTCACATGAGCTCGTGTACATACCTGGTTAATCCTGCTCCTAAGGTTTGCTCTCTGGATGTCCCAGCTTGATCTCTCTGTTGCGAATTTATTGATTATTTCTGTCCTCGTCCTGTCCTGTGCAGATAGGTCCTCTTTCAGGTCCTGCACCTTCTTCCTCAAGTCCTCTGTTAGTTCCCGCGTCTCGTCAATCTGCTCAACAGGAAGACAACGCTTGTCAGTACGACAAAGGCCAGGATGTATAACTCATTGATGCCATTCTACTACAATACGTAGACTGTATTGAAACCAATATATCTCTGTAGGTATAACGCACAGTCTATTGCTGTATGTGTAACGTACTGAGTGAGTATGTTGGGTTTAACACTGCTTTCAACAGACTTCCTGTTTCATCACGGCGTGTCAGTTTCATGTGGGAGGAACGCCTGAAGTGATGCAGGTATCAGACGCTGAAGTGCTAGAACCCAATAAGTGCAGGTTCTAATCAAGATAATTATTCAGGGCTTGTCAGCCACACCCGTCCTCTTGGGCTCGACAAGTGGTAAGAGGCTATGACGTGAATCACTTCGGGCTTTCCTCCAATAGACCCGTGAAGATCCGGGTTTGAGTAGGTCTTCAGAAACACATGCTAGTCGTAAGAGGCGACTAACGGGATCGGGTGGTCAGGCTCGCTGACTTGGTTGATACATATCATCGTATCCCAATTGCGTGGAAAGGTGCTCATGATGTCAATGCCTGGATTGTCTGGTCCAGACTCGATTATTTACAGACCGCCGTCATATAGCTGGACCATTGCTGAGGGCGGCGTTAAACAACAAACAACCAACCAACTTTCTTCAAACATCAACTTGACACGCCGTAAAATAACTGAAATACTGTTTAAAGTGACGGTTAACCCTAGTAACTCCCAAACTCACTATATGTTTTAAAAGTAGTTTACAAGTTTCCCACCTCCTTGATTTGCCTTTGCAATTTAGCTCTTTCATCCTCCCACTTAATGAGGTCCGAACTGTAATTATCCTTCAGGCCTGCCATGCCTTTTTGGATTCCCTGAATGATAGCTTTATCGAGGTCACGCTCTTTCTGGAGTTTCTCAATTGTCACAAGCATCTTCGAGTAGTCCTTTGACATCTTCTCAAAACGGGTCTCGTAGCGCACTTTCATAGCTAAGTATTCTGCCCGAATCACTCTTTCATCTTGTTGTATTTTGTAGGCCATATCAGCCTGCAAACACAAAAAAGATATTCTAACAGTCTTTGCAACAACAAAAGATGGTAGGCCCTCTCGCCCTGTGGACGTCACACAAAACCATTCTGTTCTGGTACATATAATGATAGGCTATCCAAGTCTAGGGAGATCGCATGAAGTCTGTTCTTGTACAAATAATGATAGGTCATCACAGCCTGGGTACAGCAAGTCTGATCTATAGCACAAGAAATGATAGGCTGGCTATTCAACATTGTGGACATCACATACAGCCAGTCTGTTTTACATCATATATTAATCGTGCATCTCAGTCTGGGGACATCAAGCACTATCAGTCTGTTCAAGTGCATGTAAAAGCAGGTCATCCAAGACCGGGGACATCATATACAGCCAGTCCAATCTGCTCTTGTATGTTATGGGCCAAAGGTATATACGTAAATGGTACTTGTATCTGGAAACATTTCCGGTACGTTAGAATCTCTGCAAGTGTACACAGCAGACATTATTTAAAATTAACAGATCGTTTTTAATTTCAACAAAATCAGTAAAAAACCCATTGTGTCACTATTTTTTCTGATCCATCGATCACTTGACTGTCTGGTATTTTTACATGCCACCCTCTCATGGCAGGAGTACTGCTGTGCGGCGTCATGCAACAAACACTTACTTGTTTGTGCAAATTGTATTAGAGGTGGGTGCTACCGGTAGGGCAGGACATGTTTCCCATTTCACAACACCTGGTGTCGTCACTGACATTCAGTTATCAATTTTCACCGCTATTTTGCCTTTTACGACCAATAGAATATGCTGATAATCGAGACTGGTTATTCTCTGGCGTTGAATTGTTATACTTGTCTCCTTGTTATTTCGATAGACTGTGCAACGACTGATATGATGTTATGCTCTGGAGAGATCATTAACACTGTTGCATCTGCTGGTTAACTTGAAACTCATCTAAATGGTTCCAGGGGGCGTGATGGGGTTAAATTCATATACACATTCATCCAAGTATTATACCTTTTCTGTAGATTTTGTTTTGCGCAGGTACACTTCATTAGAATATATGAAACTCTGAACCTGTTATAACACAGCCCCTTTAGGAAGTCTGCAAAAAATATTATTAAACGTACAAACCAATGAACTGAGACACAATGTGCATTTTTTACCTGTGCCGAAAGTCTTTCTATGTCTTGCCGAAGTTTGCTTTGTATTTCTGTTTCTTGACGCAGCTGTCTGCCTTTATCCACCACTTCTGACTGGAGAATGCTATTCTCTTCCTGCACAGCTTTTAGGGCTAGTTCCTGTTCCTTTTTGAGATTATGAATATCACATACAAGTATTTCCTTCTCTTGAAAATACTGATGAGCATCTGATTTCATAGCTTTTTCAATTTCAAGTTTATTCATTGAAGGAAGCGTTTCGTATAGTTTAACTTTCTCATCAGCAACGTTTATTGTCCTTTCAAAATAAGCTTTGTCTTTGTCCCATAATAACATAGCCTCGTCCAGGGCTTTCCTTGACGTTTCTAAATCCTTTGCGAACTTAATTTTTTCATGCCTTATTTCATTGAAGTCACTTTGCTGCATCCTCAGAGTTTCCTTAAGTCTACAGTTTTCTTTTTCTATGTCTGTTTCACTGCCATTATCTCTCCTGGTATTGTGGGAGATCTGTTGTTGCAAGACTGATATTACAGCCTCTTTTTCATTTAACTGAGAGCCACAGTCCTTTACCTTATCACTCAACATTTTCACATCTCGCTGCTTGCAATCTAAACTGCTATTAAGTTTGCACAAAATATCATCTTTTTCTTTCAAACGTTCGTCACGGTTTCTCACAGCTTCTCTTAACTCGCGTATACCCTCGTCCCTGTTCGAGATTTGTTCCAGTATTACACGGAAATCGTCATCACGCTGTTTCAGAAGCATGTCCTGCTCCTGAACGATTTCGTCACGCCTTGTGATAGCACGTAGGTTTTCGTTGATATTTGTCTCTGATATGGCGATGACCTTCTCCTTCTCACACAGTTCGTCCTTAACCTTCTCTAGCATGATACTCATAACCCTAACGTCCTCCTTCGTTTGTCTAAGTTCAGCTTCAAGTTCCAGCTTCTCTTCCTCTGACGCAGCATTCTTCGACCGCCAGATATCGTTCATCTACAATACACCATGCATCAATCACCATTAATCACTGCATAGGACAAACAATACATGATGTCAACGCGACAACTCTCTACTCTTGCTTTAATAATGCAGTATTTATGATCAGGGCTATTGACATGTTCCAAACTGGTTGAACTCAGCGAGATGTTTGCAGATTTTGAATTCACAGGAACAAAATGTTAATGACAAATAGTAATTACCCGCGGGCAGCTAATCTGCACACCACCGTTAACAAATCGACACATTCTAGCCAGATGGCAATGACGCTAAGAGCGTAGAAACTGGGGCAATCGACGATGGTCTTCGTGTAATGTTTCAGATGAGACCAGATTCAGTCTGTTTTTTCTTGACAGGCGTGGCCGTGTCTGGAGGCGCCCTAACGAACATCATGCGAACGAGGTATAGATTCAGAACGCCACTGCCAGAAGACCACTGCATATTGCCGATAGAGGGGTCACTGGGCAGTACAACAGTGCTCCCCGTGCACGTACACTGTCTACCTCCAGCAGCAAAACATCACCAGAATGCAAGGGTCAGCCATGTGTCCTGACCTATACCCCATAGAGCACGCCTGAGACAAGATCGGAAGACGAGTACGCCGACGTCAAAGGCCACCGCTACGTTAGCAGAACTGGACCAGGCACTGCAAGAGGAGTGGACAAGACTCCCTCAAAATGTCATTGGAAGATTGATTCAGACCTTGCCACGACGTATAAACGACTATTTGACCAATCATGGGGGCATGACTTACTATGGATCAAGTCATCTTAAACTTTCATTTCTTGACTACACTTCTGTCGTCTTATCGGATTGGTTATCCTCTTACAATACACCGCTAACATGTTCGTTTGAGTACCATTTTACACAAAGTTGTTCCTTTTCCTCATCTCTTCAATACCATCACTCGATACCTCGTGGCCCAGCACGGATGGCCATATCGTCTAAGGCGCCGCAATTCGCTGTGCAGAGTTTTGTCCCCGGGGCATGCCAGAAACCTATGATCGTGGCGCGAATCCCAGTATTGTTTCTTGGTTTGTCAGCACCACACCCGTGTCTTGTGGGTTTCACCACATTAGTAAATGTCTACGACCTGCACCACTTCGGGCTTTACTCCCACATTAAGCTGACACGCCGTGATATAACAGGAATACTGTTCATAGCGCCGTTTAACTCATATTTCCTCACTCACTTGTATTTCTTGATTCGATATATCATATGTTAAAGCGTCTAATGTTTTCGAAGAACAAAAAGTGACTTGTTATTTCGATTTCGTGTTTTTGCCAACAGAGAACGTATTCGATTCAGTTCGACTGTGGCAGACTTGTCATCGCAAATTTACCGAGTATCGATACGAGACAAGACAAACGATGAGCACTGATGTCGCCAATGCATTGTTTCTACGATGGAGCGTGACACAATAATTATGATACTGTTTTTCAGTACATTTATATGGCGGGAGAATCCATGTTGATATTTCGATGTCATAATGTTTGCTGTGAATGTTAAGACTCGGTGCATCTGGGTTGAAGGTTATTAATTCGTAATGTTCCAAGTGTAACGGATAACATAATTACAATTACAGTTTCACATATCCTGACCCTGATTGTGTATCTCAACAGTGATTGTGTCTGTAGGATTGTGCATGTCGAATATGATTGTATATGTAGGATTGTGTATCCCAAAATTGATAGTTTGTGTAGGATTTTGTATCTTGAATGTGATTATGTGTGTAGGATTATGTATGGCGAATGTGAGTTGGGGTGTAGAAATGTGAATGCCGACTGTGATTGTGTGTGGAGGATTGTGTATCCGACTGTGATTGCTTAACAAGAATTATGTATCCCGACTGCGATTTTGTATGCGGGATTGTGTATCCCACATATGTACTAATTAGTATGCCGAATGTAGTTGCTTATAAAGAATTGTGTATCTCAAATGTGATATATTATATGTAGGGTTTTGCTTTTGGACTGTGCTTGAATGTGTATGATTGTGTATCCTAACTGTAATTGTGTAAAGGATCGTGTATCTCGACTGTGATTGTGTGAAAGCTTGATTATCTCGACTGTGATTGTGTGAAGGATTGTGTATCTCGACTGTGTTTGTGTGAAAGCTTGTATATCTCGACTGTGATTGTGTGAAAGCTTGTGTATCTCGAAGTGATTGTGTGAAAACTTGTGTATCTCGACTGTGATTGTGTGAAAGCTTGTGTATCTCGACTGTGATTGTGTGAAAACTTGTTTATCTCGACTGTGGGTGTGTGAAAGCTTGTGTATCTCGACTGTGATTGTGTGAAAACTTGTTTATCTCGACTGTGATTGTGTGAAGGATTGTGTATCTCGATTGTGATTGTGTAAAAGCTTGTGTATCTCGACTGTGATTGTGTGAAAGATTGTGTATCTCGACTGTGATCGTGTTTATGATTGTGTATCTCGAATGTGATTATATTGGTAGGATTGTTTCCCGACTGTGATTGTGCGTATGTAGAATTGTGTCTACCGACTGTGATTGTGTGTCTACGTATCTCGAACGCGATTGTGTGATTAGGATTGTGAATCTCAGCTTTGATTGTGCGTTTAGGATTTTGTATCCCGATTGTGTATCCCGACTGTGAGCATGTAAATCTAACAGCTGACACATCTTATACCTCATGTTTATGCCATGTTAGCATAACATTTTGCACATCCTATACTTCATGTACATGTTACAGTTAGTAACCGTGCACTTGGCACATCCAAGACTTCATGTCTATATGTAATATTAATATTACACTTGATAACTCCAATTTTTCAGTTCTGTGCAATACCCCTTCCTATACCTCATGTATATCTAATGTTAATCCGGGGTATCAGTCAACTTGCAGTATTGCGTGCAGTATTAATTAATCATGCACAAACGTATAAAAACATGTCTTGCTGTAACATCACAATTTATTTAATGATTATCATGGTCAGGTGTACATTCCTATCTATCTACACACATGCGAAATTCGCACATCAATAACATGATTGTCGCCACAAGTTCAACAGTTCACAGTTCTTGAGCACCTTGTGAGATCATGAACTCCACACACTATATTCGCGTTATTTACAATGCGCACACGACGTATAGCAAAACATACTATTAGTAAAAACAATTATCAGGTATTGGAATGGGTCGGATCACAGGCAATTAATGATACAGCCCGTAACACTTCACAGTTCGTCCCCAGTAACGTCTGTGTACAGCCCGCTTTTTGGTCGGCGTAAGTAACAACCCTCATCTCTCGAGCAATCCAACCACTGGTCGGTTAATAAGTCTTTAGTGAATGCAGTTTGTAAGGAGGATGCATCCACTGGGTGTACCATTCAAAGCGTCGTATCTTAAGTCCATCGGGAAGTATTATACATGTGTTTGTGAGTGTGTTACTATATTCCACTTGAATAACTTGCAATTTATTCCGATTTCATTGAACTGATGAACCATGGCATGGACACAGCCCTACGCAGGCCTCAAACATACACGTCGCAGTTTCACAATTGGTTCTACTCGTAGCACTGCTTAACCTGAAGTGAGCAATCTATCGCGCTGTATAACGTGTTCGTATCCAATTTATTCAGGCTTATGACGGAAACAGCAGCATGTATGGAGGATTGCTCGGAGGATGGAGGGAGACTTGCTGGTGTTACGGTGTGTTGTACCATGGAAGTGTACGGGCTGTGTATGTCAACACTGTTGTATACAGGCAGAGGCGGGCCGCTGAGGGTCGGGGAGGGCCATCTGTGGAGGAGACAATAATCAGTAGTCACATGAAACAATAATAATAATAGCAATTATGTTATTTAGTACACATGGATGTCTCTGGTTAGTCTTGAGTGTTGGAGCCAGCTGTTTGGAGGCGGGTGTCGAGACGACTCCGATACTGGTCTATGTTACAGTTCTATGACAATTGAAATAAGGAGTGACGTGAACGTGGCAAAGAAGTGATCATTAAACAATACTACACAAGGCGCAAATGATGCATAAAGCCAAAAGACGTTCTATAGTCTTATGTGCTGCAGGTTGTTGGAACAGGAATACCTCACATGTGTCAAAAATATTTTAGTTTTAAGATCTCAAAAAACAGAATTACTAAGATTATTTAACATTTTCAATATAAAAAAACGAAAAGCTATCATGTAAGTTCCTGCGTATTTAGAATGAAGCATGTTTGTGACGACGTTAAAAACGTATCTATCGCGAAGCTGTCACGATTCAAATAATAACATCTCTGTTGCCCCATGTCCCACGGCTACTCAAAGTAGCAGACACACGTCTTCACACATTGGGACATGTTGTTTTAATTCATATGGGGTCGTGACCTCTCAGAGGACAACGATATCCTTGTCTCGGGAGCCTGAAACAAAGCTTCGTCAACAAACACATGCCAGCCCACGTACGTAACTAACCCTAGCACCAGACATCATTCCTAAGACGCAACACAATTAACAACATTCGCATTCCTTTGTTAAATTAAGTTGCTATCGGTACTCAATGACTTGTTGGAAGGTACTAATTTCAAAGGAGGTGCAAATAAACAAAGATGTCACACATGCATAAACGGTAAGTGAAGTGTGAAATATATTTTCAGAGGAAGTATCACGAGGTCAAAGGTATGTTCGAAGCTTCTTAAGTATAGCATGTGAAAAGTGTTTCTAAATGTGTAATGATAATGTGCGTGCTACTTGTAACAGTGTTGCATGTGGTAGTATGTGTTTCTAAAGGTGTGTGTTTGTGTATAGGTGCCTGGTGTGTGAGGTGACCTACCTCTTCCACCTTGTACTGCAGCTCCTCTGCTTTAAGTTTGTACATGGCACACTTCTGATCCAGAGACATGGCTTCTATGCTGCTCTGGCGATGTGGAATCTAGTCGTCATGCGAAAAGGCCACACATCAATACATTGTCCAGAATGATGTATTTTTTCAGTTCATTTCCTTCAGTCATGTTATGGATAACGCGTTTTGAGTACACACAATAAAAAAGTGATTGAGTGAATGATATGGTTTTACGCTGCTTTTAGCAATATTCAATCAAGATCAAGGCCGGGACTCCAGAAATGGGCTTAACACATAACATAAGAAGGTATTGGCACGGTTTATTTGAAGTGTGTATGGAGTGCCTGTACAAACCTTTAATGGGGAAAGACGTTTCGTCACGTTTGGTGTTGAGCTGTCGGGTTCGATGTTGCCTTCTGGAGTTTTGTCGGAGTCATAGAAACTGTGTTCTAACAAGTCCAGCTGGAAGGGAGTCAGGAATTCATTTAATTAACTCTATGCAAAGACATACATGCTTACAAGACGACCGTGACATTTGACATAGTGCTGGTAGTTTAGCTTACTTGTTGGGCATAAAAAAGGACTGGTCGACTCATTGTCAGCATGCCGTGTCAGAGTTGTCTACCGAAGAGCAATTTTACGTTAATGAGGATATACTAAATATGGCCATTACTCCTCCATAGTAGTACCTGTTCACAGATGCTGCTGTAGTCTATCTTCAATCTGATGTGTTCCTCCTCCATTATGTGAAGTCTTTCTTTCAATCCTTTGATCTGATCTGTAGCAATCTTCAAGTGTTTCTGGCTCTCAATTAACTGCAACAACAGACAATTTCACCATAACATACTCCCTTTGAGATTCCTGGGCAGATTTGCTCTCAAATATGCTACGCTAATAGTTAAAACGCTCTGATGAGGATCGGGCGGTTTTAATGCGAAACTTGGCTGACTGTGTGTCATTGCATACTGACGGTGTGGATCGGTGATCATACAATCAACCATTGGGTTACATGGTCAAGACTCGACTGTTTACAGGCAGAAACGATATAGCCGCAATATTGCTGACTGCCGCATGTAACAGCAGTCACTGACATGAGGCTAGGTCGCATAGCACGACAAGACAACCCAGTAAGATGACAACTCAGCATGATCGAAGGTTAGACGACAAGACAACATGATGGAAGAATTATGACAGCAGCATAATCAAAGGATAGATGACAAGGGCAACACGGTGGGAGAACAGAAGACAACGCAGTACGATGGGGCAATAGATGACAATGCAGCGCGATTGGGGAATAGATGACAATGTAGCACGATGGGATTATAGATGACAATGCGGTTTGATGAAAGGTTAGGTGACACTGCAGCACGATGGGATAATAGATGACAACGAAGCATAATGGAAGGTAACGTGACAATGCGGCATTATGGGAGAATAGATGTCAATGCAGCACGATGGGGGGGGGGGTTAGATAGCAATGCAACATGATGAAAGATTAAGTGACAATGCAGCATGATGGAAGTTTAGATGACAACACGGCATGATTGGATAATAGATGAAAATGCAGCATGGAAGTTAGATGACAACGCGGTTTGATGGAAGGTTAGGTGACACTGCACGCATGAAGGGAGAATAGATGACAACAAAGCAGAATGGGAGATTGTATGTCAATGCAGCATGATGGAAGGTGAGGTGACAATGTTGCATGATGACGTAGTATACAACGCAGCATAAAGGGAGAATATATGAAAAGGCAGCACGACGTAATAATAGATGACAACGCAGGTCAATAGGAGGTTATGTATGAACACAGCATGATAAGAGAATAGATGACAACGCAGCAAGATAGTAGGTTAGATGGCAACGCAGGATGGTGGGATAATTGATGACACGAAGTCATGGGATGTCAGATGACACCTGAACTAACAAAATGAGAGATGAATTGTCACTTATTATACCACGATGGGAGGTTAGGTTACAACATTATGGTGCTCGGATTGGCGGTTAGGTTACAACATTATGGTGCTCGGATTGGCGGTTAGGTTACAACATTATGGTGCTCGGATGGGCGGTTAGGCTACAACATTATGGTGCTCGGATGGGCGGTTAGGTTACAACATTATGGTGCTCGGATGGGCGGTTAGGTTACAACATTATGGTGCTCGGATGGGCGGTTAGGTTACAACATTATGGTGCTCGGATGGGCGGTTAGGTTACAACTTTATGGTGCTCGGATGGGCGGTTAGGTTACAACATTATGGTGCTCGGATGGGCGGTTAGGTTACAACATTATGGTGCTCGGATGGGCGGTTAGGTTACAACATTATGGTGCTCGGATGGGCGGTTAGGTTACAACATTATGGTGCTCGGATGGGCGGTTAGGTTACAACTTTATGGTGCTCGGATGGGCGGTTAGGTTACAACATTATGGTGCTCGGATGGGCGGTTAGGTTACAACATTATGGTGCTCGGATGGGCGGTTAGGTTACAACATTATGGTGCTCGGATGGGCGGTTAGGTTACAACATTATGGTGCTCGGATGGGCGGTTAGGCTACAACATTATGGTGATCGGATGGGCGGTTAGGTTACAACATTATGGTGCTCGGATGGGCGGTTAGGTTACAACATTATGGTGCTCGGATGGGCGGTTAGGCTACAACATTATGGTGCTCGGATGGGCGGTTAGGCTACAACATTATGGTGCTATTTCCCATGCATTGTTTTGTTTATAGGTAGGAAGAAGTCAAGTGTATAAGATGTGGTGGGTACATATTTCTTTCCCTTCACAACTCTCAGCCAACACATTGCTAATATATGGTAGATGGTGTCAGTTTGAATGAGTGAAATACTACAGCTACACTAGCCTGATTGCAGCATACCTCTTGTTGTAGTAGCTCCTTTTCTCTCAGATGCAGTTTCGAGTCGTCGGACATGGCGGTTGATACTGTTTCCTGTGTGACAAGCAACAGCTTCTTCTCCGCTGTCATCACCTTCAGACGCTCTTCAGCCAGCAGTCGCTCCAAGGACTCGACCCTCTTTTTCATCTGTCTCTGGAGTAGGTTGGTTCGCAGATAAAGATCAGACGTTCTCATGATCAGAGGGTGACATTTAGTAACATTGAAACAGTTGACTTATATTTAAATACTGCGCTGGTGGAATGGTGTATTGCATATATTTTCCCATGGTTTAAGTTACAGTAAACAAGAAAACAGCGTTATCCCTATACCCCGCCATGGGGCACATTAGAATTTTGTTTGTTTGTAGTGAATATAAACTCTAGAAAAAGAGTCCTATAAAGCCATAAGATGAGATTGGCACTCGGGTCGCTTTGTCATCAGAAAAATAATTAAATGTGAAATTCTCGAACACCAATACTTACATAAGCTAACTTAGCAGTTTCTGAGAAAATTTGTCCCCATTGCAGACACTAAAATAACGTGGATCAAGGGTCATAAGTATGTATGCTCAAAATCTAAAAACATGTACCAAGGGAAGTAACTCTGGGGAAAAATAATGTACGGCACCAGTTTTCGAACACAGTTTTGACAAGTTTCTCATAGATATGCATGCGTCCATGTGACGTCAGTAGTTTCTGAGAAAACTTGTCCCAATTGCAGACACAATGCAGTAAGTTGAAAAGCATGGCTCGAAGTTCATAACCCTGTAACAAAACATTTTACAGCACCAATTTTAAACTCAGCTCGACAAGTATCTCTCAGAAAAGATTGCAAAATTAATGTGACGTCCGTAGTTTCTGAGCAGACATGTTTCCATCGCAGACACTACGTAGTAAGTTCAAAAGCATGGACCATGGGCGACAGCTCTGTATAAAAATAATTTATTGCGCCAATGTCCAAACTCAGTTTTGATAAGTATCTTTTAGATAAGCATGCAAACTTTCATTTATGTAACTTCCGTAGTTTCTGAGAAAACATGTCCCTACTGCAGACACTACGCACTAAGTTCAAAAGCACAGAGTAGGAGCCATAACTCTGTCAAATGTACTTAAGACATTATCGAACTCATTTCAGATCATGACAAGAAATATCAGTGTGTAAAATTTCATTTCTCTAACTTAAATAGTCGTGTGATAATAATTATACGAATTAACACCTTTACTTGAAAGGTGACTACTCACATCCCAGTCTCTGTGTATCACGGTGCCTTTGTCTGAGTGAGGCGGGGGAGACAGGAAGACGTCGTCACTGCCGACACTGGCGTTACTGAGGGCGCTAACCTGGCTGGCACTTCGTTCAGACTGGGCAGATGCCTCCTTGATTATAGCTTCTAATTCCTGCTCCGCCTTATCGGCCCGCTCAGTGACGATCTCAAGCAGATTGCTTAACACGCTATTTTTGTCGTGCAACATCGCCAGGTCTTGTTCAAGCTCCACCTCCTTTTTCCTCCAAATGTCGCTAGTCTCATCAATGTGGTCTTTAAGTGACGTCACCTCTCGCTCTACATCCTCACGCTCCAACTCTTTGTGCTTTATTACTGATTTCAGGTCCACTGAAATACACCGAACAATATCAATTTCTAGGTCCACTGAAATATACAGAACACTTCTGATTAGGCAGATACCTATGTTACAGATCATATTGTAGAGGTAACTATAGGTGACGGAGGCAGACAATGTATATTACAGATCACAATGTAAAGGTATTTACAGGTCACGGAGGCACACAATGTATATTACAGATCACAGTGTAAAGGTAACTACAGGTAACGGAGGCAGACACTGTATATTACAGATCACAATGTAAAGGTAACTACAGGTAACGGAGGCAGACACTGTATGTTACCGATCACAATGTAAAGGTATTTACAGGTCACGGAGGCAGAAACTGTATGTTACAGATAACAGTGTAAAAGTGTCTACAGATAACGGAGGCAGGCACTGTATATTACAGATCACAATGTAAAGGTATTTACAGGTCACGGAGGCAGACAATGTATATTACAGATCACAGTGTAAAGGTAACTACAGGTAACGGAGGCAGACACTGTATATTACAGATCACAATGTAAAGGTAACTACAGGTAACGGAGGCAGACACTGTATGTTACAGATCACAATGTAAAGGTAACGGAGGCAGAAACTGTATGTTACAGATAACAGTGTAAAGGTAACGGAGGCAGACACTTACGTTGCAGATCACAGTGTAAAGGTAACTACAGACAACGGATGCAGACACTGTATGTTACAGATCACAATGTAAAGGTAACGGAGGCAGACACTGTATGTTACACATCACAGTTTAAAGGTATCTACAGGTAACGGAAGCAGACACTGTATGTTACAGATCACAGTTTACAGGTAACTACAGGTAACGGAGGAAGACACCGTATGTTACAGATCACAGTTTACAGGTAACTACAGGTAACGGAGGCAGACACCGTATGTTACAGATCACAGTTTGAAGGTAACTACAGGTAACGGAGGCAGACACCGTATGTTACAGATCACAGTTTTAAGATATCTATAGGTAACGGAGGCAGACACTGTATGTTACAGATCACAGTTTTAAGATATCTACAGGAAACGGAGGCAGACACCGTATGTTGCAGATCACAGTGTAAAGGCATCAACAGGTAACGGAGGCAGACACTGTATGTTACAGATCACAGTCTAAAGGTATATACAGGTAACAAAGGCAAACACTGTATGTTACAGATCACAGTTGTAAGGTAACGGAGGCAGTTACAGATGGCTGGAGATAAGATCCTTCAGGGGAACATTGATACAACATGATGGTATGTAATGATGCAGGCCATATCTTATAGATGAATTTCAGAGGTGAGTCACAGAAAATCACTAATTACTTGTTGATCAACGTCTTCTAACCCTATGCGTCTTCCACTCGACCGCTTTACTGTTTGGCAAGGGTGGGGGTTTGATAAGTATGGTGTTTGTGAGGAAAGGGGAGTGGGGAGAGTAAATGGAATTCTGCCACACATAGTTACGATCAGGGGTTCTGTTGGGCCCCGAGGAGAGGCGATATCACTGGAAACATCTTGCACGTGTTTCTTAAACTCCCGAATTCTTTTCTCCCGAACCGATAAAAGCGTTGCAAAGATTAATTCTGCTTCCAAGTATAGATGTTACCACCAAGGTGAAATCAGAAACACAATAAATCCCCGGCAATTTTTTTTGTCTTGGAGAAGGTAACGAAACATATACATTGCTTGGTTCAATCGGTGATTTGCTTCAGCTTTGTCCTTGCCAACATTTTATATTACCTATGTCAGGTATCACTTCTGTCAGGCACATTTTTAAAGTTAATATCAGTGTCGGATACATATGGACTATATATTATTTCCGAGTATCAGAGTGTGTTTACCACCTATGGTGCCTTTCTGTGTGTTGAAAATGAACTTGAAGATTATATAGAATGGACACACCTCCAGAATATAACATATGTCGATACTCCGACCGTATTAAAATTTTAAAGCAGATATGATGCCAATACAAAACAATCCTCCAGGGTGACATTCAGAATGGTAAAGTAACATGCTACAGAGAATGAAAACAAGTGCTTCGTCATTTCACGGGCGAGTTAAGAGCTAGCTTGGTGTGCAGTGCCTCGATGGGTGTACAAGACGAGGCCGAGTGTGCCAAGAAGGAAACACACCGGCGTGGAATTCTTGTCAATTAATTTAGCACAGGCTTGTCTGCAACACTGGAACCGTTCCAAGATAGCGTGGAAGAATTCGCAGGGTTGGTAAGAGTTCACCAGTGATCACAAGAATGCCATTCACAGTTTATCTTCGTGCGACCATAACTGTGATGGAAGGTGGTAGATCTAGCGGTCATTACCGTGATGGAAGGTGGTAGATCTAGCGACCATTACAGTGATGGAAGGTGGTAGATCTAGGTGGTCCTTACAGTGATGGAAGGTGGTAGATATAGACAGTTAATACAGTGATAGAAGGTGGTAGTTCTAGGCGGTCATTACAGTGATTGAAGGTGGTAGGTCTAGGCGGTCCTTACAGTGATGGAAGGTGGTAGATATAGACAGTCATTACAGTGATGGAAGGTGGTAGATATAGACAGTCATTACAGTGATATAAGGTGGTAGGTCTAGGCGGTCATTACAGTGATGGAAGGTGGTAGATATAGACAATCATTACAGTGATAGAAGGTGGTAGTTCTAGGCAGTCATTACAATGATCGAAGGCGGTAGATATAGACAGTCATTACAGTGATAGGAGGTGGTAGGTCTAGGCGGTCATTACAGTGATTGAAGGTTGTAGATATAGACAGTCATTACAGTGATGGAAGGTGGTAGATATAGACAGTCATTACAGTGATAGAAGGTGGTAGTTCTAGGCGGTCATTACAGTGATTGAAGGTGGTAGGTCTAGGCGGTCATTACAGTGATTGAAGGTGGTAGATATAGACAGTCATTACAGTGATGGAAGGTGGTAGATATAGACAGTCACTACAGTGATAGAAGGTCGTAGTTCTAGCGGCAATTACAGTGACATAAGGTGGTAGGTCTAGGCGGTCATTACAGTGATAGAGGGTGGTAGATCTAGAGAATCATTAATGTGATAGAGGTGGTAGGTCTTGCGGCCATTACAGTGATTAAAGGTGGTAGATCTAGGCGACCATTACAGTGATTGAAGGTGGTAGATCTAGGCGGTCATTACAGTGATTAAAGGTGTTAGATCTAGGCGACCATTACAGTGATTGAAGGTGGTAGATCTAGGCGGTCATTACAGTGATGGAAGGTAGTAGGTCTATCGGCCATTACAGTGATTAAAGGTGGTAGATCTTGACAGTTATTACTGTCTTTGAAGGTGGTAGGTCTAGGCGGTCATTAGTGTGATGGGAGGTGGTTAGATCTAGGCGGTTATAACAGTGGTGGCAGGTGGTAGGTCTAGTGGCCATTACAGTGATTGAAGGTGGTAGATGTCGACAGCCATTTCAGTGATGGAAGGTGGTAGATCTAGACAGTCATTACTGTGATGGAAGGTGATTAGATCTAGATGGTCATTACTGTGATTGAAGATGTTAGGTCTAGCGGCCATTACAGTGATTGAAGGTGGTAGGTCTATGCGGTCATTACAGTGATGGAAGGTTGTAGATCTAGACAGTCATCACAGTGATAGAAGGTGGTAGTTCTAGGCGATCATTACAGTGATAGAAGGTCGTAGTTCTAGCGGCACTTATAGTGATGGAAGGTGGTAGGTCTAGGCGGTCATTGCAGTGATGGAAGGTGGTAGGTCTAGACAGCTATTACAGTGATAGAAGTTGGTAGATCTAGAGAGTCATTACTGTGATGGAAGGTGGTAGGTCTAGCGGCAATTACAGTGATTAAAAGTGGTAGATCTAGGCGGTCATTACAGTGATTGAAGGTGGTAGAGCTAGGCGGCCATTACAGTGATTGAAGGTGGTAGATCTAGGCGGCCATTACAGTGATGGAAGGTGGTAGGTCTATCGGCCATTACAGTGATTGAAGGTGGTAGATCTAGACATCCATTACAGTGATGAAAGGTGGTAGATCTGGACAGTCATTACAGTCATGGCATGTGGTAGGTCCAGCGGCCATTACAGTGAATGAAGGTGGTAGATCTAGGCAGTCATTACTGTAATGGAAGGTGATAGGTCTAGGCGGACATTACAGTGATGGCAGGTGGTAGATCTAGAGAGTCATTACTGTGAAGGAAGGTGATTAGATATAGAAGGTCATTACTGTGACGGAAGGTGTTAGGTCTAGCGGCCATTACTGTGATTGAAGGTGGTTGATCTAGACATCCATTACTGTGATTGAAGGTGGTTGATCTAGACAGTCATTACTGTCTTTGAATGTGGTAGGTCTAGGCGGTCATAACTGTGATGGGAGGTGGTAAGATCTAGGCGGCTATTACAGTGGTGGCAGGTCTACAGGCCATTACAGTGATTGAAGATGGTAGATCTAGACATCCATTACAGTGATGGAAGATGGTAGATCTAGACATCCATTACAGTGATGGAAGGTGGTAGATCTAGACAGCCATTACTGTGATGGAAGGTGGTTAATCTAGACAGCCATTACCATGATGGAAGTTGGTAGGTCTAGCGGCCATTACAGTGATGGAAGGTGGTAGGTCTAGAGAGTCGTTACTGTAATGGAAGGTGGATGGTCTAGAGTCATTACTGTGATGGAAGGTGGTAGGCCTCGGCGGCCATTACAGTGATTGAAGGTGGTAGGTCTAGGCGGCCATTACAGTGATGGAAGGTGGTAGGTCTAGAGAGTCCCTACTGTGTTGGAAGGTGGTAGGTCTAGAGAGTCATTACTGTGATGGAAGGTGGTAAGTCTAGCGGCCATTAAAGTGATGGAAGGTGGTAGATCTAGACAGCCATTACTGTGATGGAAGGTGGTAGATCTAGGCGGCCATTACATTGATTAAAGGTGGCGATCTAGGCGGCCATTACAGTGATTAAAGGTGGTAGATCTAGGCGGTCATTACAGTGATGGAAGGTGGTAGGTGTAGGCGGTCATTGCAGTGATTAAAGGTGGTAGGTCTAAGCGGTTATTAGTGTGATGGAAGGTGGTACGTCTAGGCGGTCATTACTGTGATGGAAGGTGGTAGATCTAGGCGGTTATTACTGTGATGGAAGGTGGTAGATCTAGGCGGTTATTACAGTGATTAAAGGTGGTAGGTCTAGCGGCCATTACAGTGGTGGAAGGTTGTAGATTTAGGCGGCCATTACAGTGATTGAAGGTGGTAGATCTAGAGAGTCATCACTGTGATGGAAGGTGACAGACATGTATGTAGATAGAGTGTACATAGCAGCAAATGTGGTTTATGAAGCAGAACTTTGTATAGCCTTGCATTTTATAATGCCTTCATATTAAAATATTTCCGGGCATGGACGCATTTTAATTGGTCATAATCAACTCAAACTACTGAATAACAAATTCCCACCAACTAGCCCCCAACCCCCCCCCCCCCCCCCCCCTCTTAACGGTCGACTCATCAATATAAGTTTATGTATTGATATCTATTATTTGTAGAACAGGCATACATTACAAACGTACTTGCAACATACCTGCCAAGTTTGTATCACTACAGATTCCGTCAAATTTGCAATTATAAAGTGGATAATATTTGAGTAATGTCATAACGTTATACAATTGCTGCTATGTTTCTTTGCAGGGAGAAGTTGTTCGCCCACATACAGACTCATACATTTGGCGAGTGGTATGCGCCTCCCTCTCTCCCCACTGCACATCAGTAGCAGGCAACAACGCACGTGCCTGCCAGCCACACGATATCGAGGATCAGGTTTCCAAGACACAGATACAACTTAACTTAACTTAATTCTACTTACATATTTCATCCTCGAGATCTAGGACCTTTTCTACGAGCTGAAGCCGTGACATATCCTCTGGGTCTTTGTCCATAGCTGTGCTGTTGTCGTCTGCTACCGCCTTCTGATCGTCTGTTTTCTGAATGGTTTCTTCCGAAATCCGCCGCGAACTGGTCGACTCAAGTTCCGCCATTTTCCGCCGGAGCTCGCTGTTTTCTTCTTGTATGCTCTCCAAATGCTTCGTCGGGTCACGTGGCAACGGGGAGGTCCCGCTTTGAGGAATGTGTGGCAGTTCTGCCGAGAGCGAGCGAGGCTCTTTGGTGAGTGTTTGTAAACTCTCGGTCAAGGTTTTGATTCTATCTTGAAAAGAATGATTGTCGTCTTCTAGCTTTTTAACTTTGTCTTTGAGTTCAATATTTTCAACTGCAGCATCATCTGCTTGGATAGACGGAATCTGTCTGCTAAGTTGCAATTTCAAACGTTCGTTTTCGGAAGAAACCCTTTCGTTTTGTATCACTACTTGAACTAATCGTTCTTCAGTGGCCCCGGCCTCTTGGGCCAAGTGTTCAAGCTGTCTCCTGAGATCGACAACTTCCTGGTAGTCACTATCAAGGCTTTTACTCTTCTTTAGTTTGCCCTGCTGCTGGCGATGTGAATGTTGAATAAAGTTCATTTGGGCACACAGGCGCTCAATTTCACGTTCCTTTTCGATAATCTTCCATTTGAGATCATCGGTTTCTATGGTCATTTGTTTTATCTTATCTTCATAATATGCGTTTGGGGAGGAGGGTTCTGGTTTGATATTAAGTAACTGAGTCTTTTCCTCAAGTCTTTCTTGCAAGAACTTCACCTCCTCACGGATATTCTCGTTGTCCTGTTCCACATCGGAAATCTTTTTCCTGGAAACAGAAATCTCCTGTTCCAATAGTTCACATTGTATTTTGAGGTCAATGTCGCCGCTGCTGTCAGTGTCTGAGTCATTGTCCTCACTCTCCTTAATAAACCTCTCCTTCTCTTTTAGCTCGCGTCTCTTGTTGCTGCGGGACATCTTCCTGATCTGCATGTTCAGCCCCTCATTCTCTTCTTCCATCTCCGCTAGTTTCTTCCTCATCATTTTTGTCTCTTCTTCTGTGAATCTAAGCTGCTCTTTTAAGTCATTCTCTCGTTCGATGCTGTCATACAGATCCCGCATTACTTGCGACACGTCGTACTCGCTACTGCTCTGCTTGCCCACTGAGCCCAGCATCGTCTATTATTTAAACAAAGCTGGATTTATTTTACATGAAAAAATGATAAATCCTATGAGCAGTATACACAGAATGAATTCATAAACAGTCCCTACTTGAAGAATCAAATTGTATTATTGTTTGCATTAACATATCGCCTGGAAAATGTTGGAACCAGCATATAATAGTTCATATTAAGGTAGCAAATATCCGAGTTAGAATAGGTCTTCAGCAACCCATGCTTGCCGTAACAGGCGACTAAGCTTGTCGTAAGAGGCGACTAACGGGATCGGGTGGTCAGGCTCGCTGACTTGGTTGATGCATGCCATCGTACGCCGTCGACCCGTGAAGATCCGGGTAGAATAGGTCTTTAGCAACCCATGCTTGCCGTTAAAGGCGACTTTGCTTGTCGTAAGAGGCGACTAACGGGATCGGATGGTCAGTTGGATGATGCATGTCATCGTATTTCAATTGCGTGGTTCGATGCTCATGATGTCAATCACTGAATTGTCTGGTCCAGACTCGATTATTTACAGACCGCCGTCATATACCTGGAATATTGCTGAGTGCGGCGTTAAACAATCAATAAACAAATGTTAGCCGTGTCATAACATGAATATAACAATTAGCAAAACTATCACAAACACATTTGCTCAATGATAATACAGATATATTATTAGAAACTAAAACTTATGATTATTATCAATATATCCGTGCAACAAACTACATGATGCCTAATCTCGTATCAGTCATGTCGAAAAAACACTAAAAGAATTTTAATCTTCAACCTGAGACACAATCACCACTAATTCAGTGAGGAAAAATCACAAACGTTTGTGAAATTGAGGGTCAATCTATTCAGACATGTTTATACATCTACCACATAACTGGAACCTTTCGGATCCAGCATTGTAAAAGGGAGGGGTCCAAAATACCAAACTCCTCCCTCAGTTGTGGGGTGGGGGAGGTTTCTCTACAACATGCTACTTTTGGTTGTAAAGGGAGGCGTGCAAAATATCAATTCCTCGCTCAATGTGTGTGTATGTGTGTTTCGTTTTGATTTGTTTTGTGTTTTCGTTTTTGTTTTGATTTATTTTTTGTTTTGTTTTTTGTTGGGGGAGAGGGAGGGGGTGAAACTGACAACATCCTACATTTGCTTTTCAAAGGGGGCGGACCCCCTGGACCACACACCCCTGGATCCGATCCGCCTATGATTTTTCTCATTTATCCTGACTAACATTGTTTCATATATTGCTCCTTCAGATGCAGCACCAGATGCATATAAAAAGAGTTACATACATTTTATTTTATCAGGCAAATTATCAAAGCCTAGGAGACTTGAGCGTAAATGAGCTATTTATATACCTGGCTGTACCAGCAGCCTGTTGCAGCTGCGACGTCATCATCAGACGAAGAAGTGGAAATGAAGAAGAAACAAAACGTGGGAGTTGTTTTCTCTTCTTGGAATGTTGTTGATTGGGGCAAGTCTGGAGAAATTGATTGTGCACAGTACGCTTTTTCCCTTGAAGGTAAGGGGGGAAAGATTGGTGTTGTGCGCTAGGCGATATGCTTGCTCACCGACTGTGACGTCACGTACAACGTACTGTTCACAAAAAAATAAATAATAAATTATCCTAATATCCAGAGATAGTTTACTGGCAACATTTCATGTGAAGGATGAAGCACGTCCAAGGAGAGAGAGAGAGAGAGAGAGAGAGAGAGACTATAATGTTTATTATATGTTATATAGTAAGTGAGTTTGGTTTTATGCCGCTTTTAGCCATATTCCGGCAATGTCCAAGCAGGGGACACCAGAAATGAGCTTCACACATTGTGTCCATGTCGGTTGTCGAACCCGGGTCTTTTGCATGACGAGCAAACATTTTTACCAATAGGCTACCCGACCGCCCCACATGTTGTGTAGACTTCATACTAAAACACGTATCCAAATAATAAAATATAACATCCGACCCGATGTGGCCTACGAGACACTAGATATAAAATCATATGTATAACGTCATGGTCAGGATAAGATATATTAAGACATATACCAATACAGTGCTTAAAGTTAAATTAAGTTATGAGAGTCGTTGAACACACATACACATAGACACAAGCATACGCACACACTCGGAAATAAATGAGTGTCAAGCGCCTTTGGAACATTTGATCAATTAATTTACAAAGAGTATAACACCCGTGTTCACATCTGAGCAATGTTATAAATTTCTCGATTGATGATGAGTTTAAGAAAACATAGCATACATTCACACATAGTGTTCATTACATCATAATATAAATCATCATGCATGTTAGAATTAATTTGAAAAGTGGACCTCAGTCTCTACAGAGTTAAAACCAAAAAGGGCAAGTTCTATCCTGGTGGGGGACAGGACTATACCTCATTTTTTCAATGTTAATGTTAATTATGATCATCCCTCTCCGAACAAAAATAACTCTCCAAGACACACACAAACCATGCACACGCCCATCTTCCCGAGGCAAGGAAGTTAACTGAACAAGTTTCCACCCTTGCCGAACTATGCTGGAATTTCTGGGCTCAGTCGTTGCGCCACCAGTGGCTCTTACGAGTTATGTCCCTTCTAGATCCCTTCTATTGACCAATCAGATTCCACCTCTCATATCACATGTATTGGCTTCAAACGAAATGGCGGCGCCCAGTGAAGACGATCTGATCGATAATCATGATCTATATTGTAATAAAACCGGGTCTTAGTCTTAGTGCATCAAATCACGCAAGCAACTTGATTAAAAACATGAAAAGATTTGGAAAATATCTGTTGGCGCTAAGTAGGCGGTAAACATGTTTTGCAAATCCTGCAGTCGACCGAAATCTGACACGACATTTTACGAAACAATTTTGATTGGACTTTGTATAGACTCGTTAGTCAAGCTAAATTATAACTCCATAATTCTAGTCTCGTTCGGCAAGGGTGGAAACTGGACTGTTATAGTCGGTAAGCTCCCTTCCCTAGGGAAAATGGTTTACGCTTTGGCACAGTAACAGACCAGTGCAGCCGAGGCCATTTCTATTTATAGCTGCACCTCACTCCTCGAAGTGTTGGGTTGTTTCCAAAAACATATATGCTGTGAGGAGTAGGTACGAGCTAATTCCGCTGCATGAAAAGCCAAGTTTGAGATAATTTGGGAATGCAGTATTTTGGACAAAAAATATTCTTATGCGCACAATAAAAATACGTCAACGAAGAGGAAATAACAAACCTGATCAATGCAAAAGTAAAATTTGCGATAAAACATCACTGAGCTTGATGATTTACTGTTCTGCTAGGCATTGATTTATATGCATAGATTAGGATCACGGTGTATATATTCTTGTAAACTTAGCCGGAAATAGCAATAAGATGTGCACACAATTTGTCACAGATGTACCGGTGATTCAGTTACAAAATGCACAATAACATAACTTATGCAATGATCGGAAACAATTGTATATGAAACTATTATCTTACCAGGAATAATATATTCCAGTATCGTGTTTTTTCTGTCGCAGCTTTTACTATATATATTTATGATAAAAATACTAGTAACCATAAGTGTAGCACTTTGTTATATTGCCAGATATTCTTTAGGTATGGAACATTAGGGCGAGTCACCCTTGGGGCTTTCCGCGGTCCTGCTACTTTGATCGTGAAAACTATATGCTGACATATAATAGTCAATATGCACCAAATATGACTTTTAACGAGTCAGCGTATGGCATATATGATGTATGTATCCATTCACTGTCAACAAGTTTACAGATATACTTATCGATATTTGTGAAAGGTTTATACCAAACAAGATAATTACAGGAAAGATAAACCTAGGGTGAATAATGAAATTGGTACATTAATTCGTAAACGTAATCTGCAAGGCGAAGAAACTCAACTTCACATTGGGAAGGGTTTAGACGATGAGCAAATATGGCTGTATCCGTTATAAAGAACGCTAAAGAACCTAATTACTCAAAACTAGATTCCAAGATTAATGACAATTGTAATAGTTAGACATGGTGGCATGTAGTAACAATATACACGAAGAGAAAAGAAATATATGTATTTTTCCACCTATTACTTCTCAAAATAAAGTATATAATGATCATGTATCGATAGCCACTACATCCTCCAAATATACATGAAAACAGTCTTGACAACATTACACAACATTACTAACTCGTTCTGATGTCAAAGAAATACTTCTCTCAGATGATGTAAGTAAAGCCAATGTCTCAGATCGAATTGGCAATACTTTCCTCAAATTAACAGCTGAAGACGTACAGTATCCCCTTACATAGATTTTCAATCAGTCACTTCAAAATACCCCACATTTGAATGTCTTGGAATAAAGCATTAGTTATTCCTATATAAAAAAGGGCAGTGTAAGCGAGCATACTAGCTTATATATAGGCCTGTTACCTTCACATGTTGTTTGATGAAAGTTGAAAACAATGTTTATAAAAAAATATATAGCTAAAATGGATAGAATTATCATTAAACCGCCCACATGGTATCAGAAATGAGCGGGCCAATGTAACTTGATAATGCCCTCATATTGCTTTGCGACGGGTCATTATTACGCCCGTTGTAAGGTGACCTCATAGGGATAGGGATAGGTGACGTCACTTTCAATAGTGACGTCATCTGGTTTGTTCTATGACGTTTCCATATTTGTAAAAGTGGGTCAGTGACATTCGTGTTGATTGCACTAAATGTTTCAAAACCGATATTGTTGTTTATTTTTTTTTATAAATTCAAACCATTTCAGCTATAATAACGGTAACTTTATTTTTCAGAAGAGTTTTCTGCGATATAAGCAAGGCATATATTAAAGTAGTGACTTTTAAATAATTTTAGAGTTAGTCGTAATCTAAAGAACTGGTTTGATAGTGATCTTCATAATCGAGTTTATAATTCGGAATTTATGCCCGCGGTGGCAGGCGTCCCTCAAGGATCGGTGTTGAGACCATTACTTTTCGCGGACGATACATCATTATATGCAACGG